GAATCCACTTTCAAGCTCTTCAGGCCAACCCCAGCCAAAAACAATTGGTGTGAAAAATAAGTTGGACAGTTCGATGAAAGTCAAATCTACTAAAACAGACTCTGCCAGTTCACTTTTAAAGGGTAAAGATTTAACTCCTGCGTCGGCAAAGACAAATAATTCAAGGATAACAAATGATACAAAACGAAGCCGCAGCCAGGGGAAGAAGCCTGATGATGCCAAGGTTGATTCGGTCAGCAATAGTAAGTACTCTTGTGTATGACTAGATTATCATAATCATCATCATAAGTCATGCCCAGGGGCATCGACCCCCATATAATTTCTCCCCATCTCCCTCTGTAGGTTCTGGGGCCTCATTGTAAGAAAAACAAGCACAGACCTATCCAACAAGCATGTTGTAGGAGTCGACTGGGGGTCTCTTTCTGAGAGGCAAGGAACCAACAGTACTGCATACAAATGAGTCATATGTAAAATGGATGTGCACGCAGCACTCAAGTTCTGGAATAAGACTAAAGTCCAGAGGTATACAAACAACCAGAGCTTTTCTCTCCACAGGTTTTAGTTCTTGCTATTTTGAATCAGTTCCTCTGGTGATATTTCTCAATGCCATCAATTCAGGATGTCAGTTATCATCACTCTTTTTCTGCCTTTGCCACCAGTGATCTTTTCAGTCATCACAAACATTCTCCATTGTGCCTCTCTTCTCACCACCTGACTGAAGAAAACCGACTTCTTCTTTCTTGTAATTGTATACTGTTTTCTGATTCCATTAACCGTTTTTCAGGCAGTACTTGCTTGTTTGTCTGTCTATGATATTCGCAGTATGTGATGTATCTCAGAAACCACATCTCCACGACCCCCAGATTCTGCCTAATTTGTTCATTCTCATTTCAAAATTAACAATCATGCAGCAGCACTAATTCAGTATAAGATTTCAGTTCTCTTTCTCATGACTGCTAGATAGATGGCGATATCAGGGGTGACATTAATGATAAAGTGGTTTAATTATTGATGGAATAATATGAAACACAATAATGGAAAAGAGAGAAACAATAGCAGTGTGTGAAGACGTGAATCAGGGGTGAAACACAATACAATTTAAAACTGGCTGAAGATAAGGATGGAGCACACATGGGAATGCCCTTAGTGCTGTGATGTCAATTCTTGACTCAGCTCAACTCAGCACAATAAAGTTGGGACATTAATTATAGATACATGTGAAACATGAGCAGTTGAGTAGGAAAATTATTGATTGATAAATGTGGGTCACAAACAGTTAAATTATAACAATAATCATGGATAAGGAAGAAACACTGCTTTCACTTAGATAATTGTAATAAAAAAAAGTCATCAAAAACTGAAACTATATTGGTTGTTAACAATTCAGCGTATTCAAATTTAAACAGGAGGGAAACGAACAAGAGCCCATCAGAGTTCCGGCCGATTGAACATAGGTAAGTAAACAAAGTAGATTTTGTTGTGTCTTTTCCTAATGGATCCAGATGCACACACAGTGTTGTTGAGTAACAGACTCACAAAGCATGCTGAGAAAGGTGGGGAAAGTTCTGCTCCAGGCAGAGTGGCAAGCATTGTCTTTGAGCAGTGGCTCTCAACCTTCCTAATGCGGCGACTGTTTGATTAATTTCCTCATGTTGTGGTGACCCCCAGTCATACAATTGTTTTGGTTGCTACTAGATAACTTCAGTGGGCTATCCTCCCACTAACGGCCGGCAAAGATGGCGGCCGCAAAATACCCTTTCGAGCCACAGTCGCACGACTTAATTTGCGGTTCTCCGGCGACTATCGCCACCGTATCGCTCACGCGTCGTGGAATGGGGCTAAACTAGATGGCTAGGATCCACGAGCAGCAGCCGCGGTGTGCTCGTGACCGCTAGTGCGCAATTGACACACGACTGTGGCTCAAAGATATTTTGCAGCCGCCATCTTTGCGGACTGTAAGTCAGAGGATAGCCCTTCAGTGAATATGTGTTTTTCGATGGTCTTTGGCGACCCTGTGAAAGGGTCACGACCCACAAAAGGGTTGAGACCCAGAGGTTGAGAACGAACCACTGCTTTAGAGAGATACCGGCTAGTTAGTGTCCTTTAGATCTTTACTCTAGGCCATGCATGTGTTGGAAAATGAAGAACTGTAGATAAATTGGCTGGTTCCACATTAGATGGTGACAAGGGGGAGAAGGTGAATAGTCCGGAAGCATGAATAGATCCTTACAGTCTAGAGAAAAGGGTGTGGCGGGGGGATCTGGCTACCATTCTACACTCAGAGTAAAGGCAAGACAGAGATACATTCAAACTGTTACTGGAATCATTGCAATTGGAACCCTTCGTTTGCTGCTGAAAATGGGGATCGAGAGCTTACGGAAAATTCCTCAGTGCTGTTATGTCCCGACTTAACTCATTTGTCCTTATGGTTGGTTTGCTTTACTTCATTAGATGTTAATTGGTTTCACCCTATTTGTCATCTTCGGTGGAATGTTTCGGTTTAACTCAGCTCTTTTCCACATGTGATGAACAGAAGAATAGATCCGCTGCCTCCCCAACAAGCATGTCCTAAGAGTCCACTAATTGGGGGCTTCCTTTGAAGTGGAAGTGCACCCGACTGGCACGCAATGAACCAATAATCTGCACAAATTAAGTTCACATATGTTGAACAGTGCTAAAGTCCAGAGGTGGACACACTACCAGAACTTTCCCCTGGAGTTTACATTCAGTGAGCATGAACTCAGTGCTGTTACCCTTTTCTTGTCTGCTTTCTCCCCTGTTCATTCTGACACCCTTAACTGGTGGGTCACATTAGCGCAGTTGAGAGATGACTCGCTTTCAAATCCAGCGGCAACTTGCTGCAACCCATGGCTGCCCGGGTGGTTTTCGAGGTTTACTCAGCCTCTAGGTAAATGGAGGAACGTCACTGAAGCTACAGAGTTGCGGGCAGACGGACAGTTTCTTCTCAGCTGCCTGTTCTGTGGCAAGCACTTATGGTTTTTAACAATGACGCTGGTTCACATCTCCCGACTTTACTTTTTTTTTTTTTTTTTACACTGGTTACATTTCCTGGGTATTTACAAATAAATGGCAGGATTTATCAATTTGATGACAGTAAATATTATATTGGTAATTATAGTTTGAATTCAGTTTCTTGATTTCTTTTCTGTAGACCCTGAAACCAGTGATGATGATGATGATGAGCCAGCCAGCAAAAAGAGAGACCTGAGAACAGAGGCCGCTCGAGCATCCACCCAGTCCATGTCATTACGATCACCTCGTTCTGTGCGCAGTGATAAACCTGAGACACAAACATGTGGTGCCAGGAAACGGAAGCTTTCACAGACAGACTCCTTGACATCCAAAACACCCACAGCTAAAGGGAAGAAATCTACAAAAGCTTCAGGAGCAAAGAGAGGTGAGTAATTGTATATTGATTATCATGTTTTCCCTGTGTGGGTTCTAGGCCTGACTTTAGAGATAAATAAAGAACAGGCCCACAGTCAGGAGGGGAGGGGGGAGGCCCAGTCTTTGGGAGACAGATAAGCCTACAGTCGGGGGGGGGGGGGGGGAGACCCAGTCTTTGGGAGACAGATAAGCATACAGTGGGGGGGGGGGGGAGACCCAGTCTTTGGGAGACAGATAAGCATACAGTGGGGGGGGGGGGGAGAGACCCAGTCTTTGGGAGACAGATAAGCATACAGTGGGGGGGGGGGGGGGAGACCCAGTCTTTGGGAGACAGATAAGCATACAGTGGGGGGAGGGGGGGGGGAGACCCAGTCTTTGGGAGACAGATAAGCATACAGTGGGGGGGGGGGGAGACCCAGTCTTTTGGGAGACAGATAAGCCTACAGTGGGGGGGGGGGGGGGGGGGGGGGGAGACCCAGTCTTTGGGAGACAGATAAGCCTACAGTCGGGAGGGTGGGGGGAGACCCAGTCTTTGGGAGACAGATAAGCATACAGTGGGGGGGGGGGGAAGACCCAGTCTTTGGGAGACAGATAAGCCTACAGTGGGGGGGGGGGGGGGGAGACCCAGTCTTTGGGAGACAGATAAGCCTACAGTCGGGAGGGTGGGGGGGGGATTAGCTGACAGTCTTTAGGGAAATTTAAACTGACAGTCTTCGGAGAGAATAAGTCGACGGTCTTCAGGGAGAATAAGCTGAAGGTCTTCAGGGAGAATAAGCAGACAGTCTTCAGGGAGAATAAGCAGACAGTCTTCAGGGAGAATAAGCAGACAGTCTTCAGGGAGAATAAGCAGACGGTCTTCAGGGAGAATTAGCCGACGGTCTTCAGGGAGAATAAGTCGACGGTCTTCATGGAGAATAAGCTGAAGGTCTTCAGGGAGAATAAGTTGACAGTCTTCAGGGAGAATTAAGTCGACGGTCTTCAGGGAGAATAAGCTGAAGGTTTTCAGGGAGAATAAGCTGAAGGTCTTCAGGGAGAATAAGCTGAAGGTCTTCAGGGAGAATAAGCTGAAGGTCTTCAGGGAGAATAAGCCGACGGTCTTTGGGAAGAAAAGTAATAGGCCACGGTTTCCCTAACAAGTATTTAGTGAAATGTGAATAATTTGGTGTTTGCTGAAACTTGATGTGTTGGCCCAAATAGCGCAGACATTACAGCATAGCTGAAAATAACAGCATGATGTGTCAGCCACTGTTTTAAATGTGAATTCAGAGTTATGGACCAGCATTATAGCACTCAAGAATTCTCATAAGCACTCTGTCCTCATCTTCAGCAGAACGTGCTAAGTTTCAGTTCTGGTGGTACCAGTTGCAGTCCGTCACTGGAGCTAAGGGGTTGATGCTTTGCGTGATGCAAAAAAAAAGAGAGAGAGGGCAATCCATGTGGGGTACAGCCTGCTGCAGTGAGATTGATCCTGTCACCTTTATAACCTTTTTAACCTTTAACATAGGATCTGCTTTCATGTGACCAAGTTGCTATAACATTAGGTTGAGGCGAAATTAGCTTGTTTAAAATTGGATTTTGTTGTTAAATTAAAGGTAGACCCCCCAAGAACCAAGGAAAGAAGAAGAAGAAGCGGATAGCAGACTCCAGCAGTGAGGATGAAGATGATAACAAGAATAGTGATGATGAAGAGGATGATCTGTTGGACAGTGATTCTGATGACAGTGAGTCCTGGGAGCTTCCTGACGGAGTCCAGTACTATGATAATGAGTGCAACGCCAAGAAGTGCCTTAATCCAGAGGGGAAGCAGGTTGACTGGGTAGGTGTTCAATCTTATTATGTAGTAATCATTATAGTGATGTTTATAAGTGTTGATGATTTTAATCAGTTGGAGGGGGGGGGATGTGATAGATGGTAGATACACTGTCAGCACAGTTCCAGTTCCAGCGGTACCGGTAGGAGTCTGATTACATGACCATCTCATCTTTTCCTCTGAGCGCTGAACTATACTCTTCAGACCCTTGTTGATTTTAGATGTCCTTCCGCACTGTTCGCTCATCCCCAAAGAGCCTTTGTACTTAAAAGGTTAATGGGAAGAGGGACAAAGACAGGAACATTTTTAATGAGATTTTTGCGATTGCACTGGAAAAAATGTCAGCACAGGAATTACTGTTAAGAGATGAAGATGAGTGGGGGTGAAGGGAAGAGTGGAGGTGAGGGGAAGAAGACGTGGGGGAGAGCAAGATTGCCTTGATGGTGCTGAAAAGATGCTGGATGCCATGACTGAGTGTTTAAAAAACAACACAACAACCAGTTAAACGCAAAAAGGGACTCAGACAAATTAACAAACAGAACAGAACCACACTTAATAAAAGCTTAGAGATGTTTGGTGCAGCAGCACAAGCTGTCTACCGGCCACCACACATGTCTACGTAGAATTATCGAAAATTTTCTGGCCAGGACAATCTCAAACACTAAACTACTTCAAGCCACAAACCAAGAAACTTTAGATAGCATGATTACCAAGAGAAGATGGAAATGGCGTGGCCACGTTATGATAATGACTTCTGATATACCTGCCAAAACAGCTCTCACATGGACACCAGAGGAAAAGAGAAAACAGGGGCGCCCAAAAACAACATGGAGACGAACGGTGGAAAGTGACCTGAGTGCGGCATCTTTGACATGGAAAACTGCACTGAAGATTGCGCAGGACAGGAAAGCATAGAAAGTCCTCTCTGAAGACTCATGTGCCACTAGGCATAACGAGAACTGATGATGATGATTTGGTGCAGCAGGCAAAGTGGCTAGTCCCTGCACAAACGACAGTTCCCAAATGAATAGTAGTATTAGTAGAATGTGTTGTAGTAATTTAATAACATGCAGATCCCTACTGGACAGGGCAGTTCTTGAACTCCCCTTAACATCATTTATATTTAGCAATTTGTGTAAAGATATGACTTTGCAAAATACAGTAGGTTGTAATTTCTTTCTGTGAGAGCAGTCACCGTACAAGGCGGGTTGTTCCTAGCCATTGTGCCTTTAGATTCATCTTCTGCCTGGCAGTAATAAGTGGAGAGCAGTACTGAAAACTTTTCAGATGCTCAAATCTTTTACCTACCATCCTGCCTGCCATGACTTCATGTAACCCTGAGCAGAGGGCTAAGCGGAGACTGTGCATGAGGTATCCTGGCAGGCTAGCAGAGGGAAGAAGGCACCTTACATCTCTTGTTAACAGGGTTTACTTTACCCTGCTACTCAGCATACAGTTTGAAAAAAAAAATGTAAAGGACCCTTTTCTATGTCTTTAGGCATATAGGGCTAGATCTGTATTTTTTCGACTAAAGTATTTCAGGATCCTCGCTAGTGCTACAGAGCCTGTGCACTGCTGATCTTCTACGGACTCGTTCTTGATTTAGAAGAATATTAGAGCACTTATGGGTTACTACCTGTGTGCCATGATGTTGATCCGTTGCTCAAACCTCTTAGAGTATATAGTGCTAGATCTATATTTTACAGAACAAGCAGCACTTGGTGGGTGATATTGTCGGCATCATGCCATACTCTACATAACCGTTACCTAACCAACCAAACTGGTCTACAGATAGCCATTGAGCACCCTAATTTAACCGTCTTTTGGTTAAACAGAAACAGAATTTTCTCATTTCGGATTCCCATCCTCCCTGTATGGGTTGTGGGGAAAACAAGAATAGGCCCACTGCCTTCCCAACAAACATGTCATAAGAGTTGACTAACTGGAAGCTCCCTTCAAAGTCGGAGCGCGTCTGCCTGCAAGGCAAAGAACCAACAGTCTGCACACAAATATCAGATATGTAAAATGGATGTGCATGCAAAACTTAGGTTCTGGAACGAGACCGAAGTACAGAGGTGGACAACCAACCAGAACAATTACCAGAGTTACAGCTGGCGAGTGCGAAGGAAAAGCTCTTCGTATCACTGGCTATTAATTTTTTTAGAAATAAATAATTAAAAAAACCAATAGTTATAGAAACAAGGTTGAGAGAGTTTAGACATAGGAGGTGATTCAATGACTGTTTCTGGTTTCAGGTGATGTGTGATGACTGTGAGCAGTGGTATCACGTGGTCTGTGTCAAGTGCCCTATGGAGGTTGTGCTGAACGACGATGCCCAGTTCCACTGTGGATGCTGAACCCTATTTCCTTGAAAGAGGATGCCGCAGTTATGCTGTGGATGCTAATTTACTGGCAAATCCTGGATAGCCAAGCTGGTTTTTTCCAGGTTACTTGGATGTGAATCACAGACAGATCTGACAAGTTGTCGACAAAGGAAATCAAATTTTTACACAGAGATCCTTACCTCATTTGCAGCCAAGAGAACCAACACGACACCATGCTCTACTGCAGAGACATTCAGTTAAATTTACCCAGGAGCTGTTGCAAAATGAGGATTGTCGTGGGTCAAGAGTCCCGTGCATAGCATAGAAAAATCATTAACACATTACAGTTGCCATATTTGGCCTGTGATCCGCGGGTCACTTGTAAGCCTCTGTGGGCCATATTTGGCCTTCTGAATAGCCTTACTCTGCTGTGTCCTGCATGACTTGTTGCCAGCATTTCAGCATCACTAACTTGAATCCTTTTCACGGGATAATTCCCTCGGGCAGCCGCTGAAGACAATTTGAATATTTGTTTGATTCTTTCTGTGATCATTTATTGTATGTCTGTTCTGACTGAGGTCACAAACTTTGATGGTGTTCTTGAGATCTTCACCATAATTCTTCACGGCACATTACTTAAAGGACATCTCAAGCTTGTGGAAAATGTAGATCTCGTGTGCACATGATGTATGTCAACACAGTTATTTTCTTGTAGACGCTGCTTTTCAAACCACCTACGTATTTTCGGGGAAACATGGTATTACTGTGTTAATTACCACAACACGGGAACAGTGGAACGTAAACTCTATGTGCCACTGAATGAACTAACAACAACAGTGAAATTTATACAAGAGACAAAACTGCTGATATAGACAACTTATTTCAGGCGAACGAGAGAAGAAGAAGAAGACTACAACACTTGCGGGAAATTCTAATTTAATTTCTCTGTTCCCATTTCAGTAGCCAGTGCACTGTTAAAGTAAGAATGGTGCCAGTTATAGTGTAATATGTTCGTTCACCTTGTGTTTCCCTTGAAGATTGTCTACAGGATGCTCAGATATATGGCTGAGAAATAAAGAAAATACTGAAGCCTCTAAAACTTGATGCTTGAATTAAAATTTAATTCCCTGAAACTCCTAAAAAGAGAAAAGCAGGAACCCACAGGAATTCTTGCAAAAGTCAATTGAAAAAACTTTTGACACAGGCCAAATCATTTTTTTTTTAAATATAGCACCTACAAGCTATCATTGGATGGGAACAGGGAAATATTAAATGGAAAACATTCCCTGGACTTGAAAATGTGTGCTGTGACTTGTACCATGACCTTGTTGGATAATATTAAGGCTACAAGCAAATAAAACTTCCCCGAATGCTATATTTTTTAGTCAATATATTTATATCCTGGCCTCCTAATTGCTGCGCAGGCGCAAACACAACAAATTGCGCTGACTAGCTTTTTCGATAAGTCATTGCTGAGTATGCAGCATTAATGGGATTGAAAAACCATTGGAAATGCATGCTTCATGGCTACTCATGTTGAAAGGGTTAAGAATTGACAGTACAGCACTCCAAGCATTGCCACAAGTGCTCCATATTCAACAACTGGAGACAAGTTGATCCTTCCATCATGAACTGACACAATGTCTAACTGACTTATATCACAGGATGGTGTTATCTCATTTTTTTTTCAAGTATTTATGTCTCATTATTGCCTTTTTTCAAGCTACTGGATGGCCAACAACTGGTCTTACCGACTGTACCGTTTATATTTGAATTCCCATCTGATATCGTTGCAATTTATTTTAAAGATTCCAATGGCTGGTCCGCCTGTACCTGGTGCTACAGACTGATCTGATCTTATTATTACCTTTAACATTTGCATTCCTGTCTCATTGTTGCCTTTTCTAAAGATACCAACCACTACAGGGCCAACATCTAGTCTTACTGGCTATTTGATTATTACCTTACATCTATGCATTCCCACATATTTTTGTGTTTGGGAGATACCAGTGACTCTACAACCTATTAATGGTGCTACAGGCTGATGTGATCTCTGAATATTCTCATTCCTGTCTCATTGCCTTTTTTAAGATACCAGTGACGGGACAATTTGCAAGTAATGCTGAAGCGATCTCATTCTTACCTTTAATATTTGCATTCCTGTCTCATTTTCTTGTTTAAGATACAAATGACTGAACAGTATGCAAATGATGCTACATGCTGATCTGATTTCATCATTATCATCTTTAATATTTGAATATTCTCCATGTGGATTCCTGGGTTCAGTTTTTAGGGGGGGGGGGGGGGGGGGGGGGGGTTAGTCCTACTGTTGAATGTGACTAAATAGGAATTTTCTGAAATTGAATGTGTTGGACTGAAAGATACAGATATCACAGTATAGCTGCGTACCACATGTATCAGTTCTTTTAATGGTGGGTGCAGACAAATACATCATTAGTAACTTCCCAAAGACTAGTGGCCTAAAATTACTATTTACTGACTGATCTTTGTTCCGCTCATAGAAGGGCAATTTGCACATTGCATTATGGTTTACAGTTAGGCTGTGATAACTGTATCCTTTGGCCCCACAAATCTAGATTGACAGACTCCTAATTTGTTGCCCTTTATGACGGGGGGGGGGGGGGGGGGGTGCTCGGCCCTTGCGCCTAAAAAAACTAAAAAAGCCACACGGGGAACAGCCTAAGTATTGTTATAATTACATTCCTGCCGCAAATATTACTGCCTTTTTTAATTGAAACCAGCGACTAGTCAAAAGAGCATGCATCTTTCCTGAAGCAACCATACGGATGTGAGTTGAGGACTATCTCACGGTCCTTAAATGAGAAAGTAATTGCTTTGAGGTGAAATCCTGAAGTAAGATTCTCAGAATACCAAGATCAGAAAAGTCACATCACTATTCACATGAGAATCCCACTAGTACAGATGACAGAAACCCTGTTCAACCGTAAGTTTATATTGGGATCCCAGAGGGTTAAAAAGTAACCCGAAGTTCTAGTGAAGTTTATGTGAGAGACAAAATTGCAGATAGAGAAAGTTTTTTTCAGGCGAACAAAAGTAGAATAAGAATCTGAAGTCCAGACAGGGTAGGGTTGAGTAACCTTAGTTTAGTTTACACAACGCATCAACATCAAATGTTGGGTTGTAGCTCATAAGTGCTCTGTTCTACTTCAAACTCAAGCCTGAGTGTGAAGTATATCAGTGCAGTGCATGAACTACATAGCATCGGCGAGGATCCTGAAATACTTTGGGTAGATTTTTGACTCAAAATTTTGTTAGGGCAGCCCCGTTAGGCTACTCTTTTCGATTTCCAACCGCCACGGGATTTTTTACACACAGGTATCTGATTATACTAATCAGAGACCAGGGGGAAATTACACGTGAAAAATCGCCAACACACAAGGCGGATCTTTTCTGCTAATTAGTAAAAAGTAAAGTTCCCTTTTCACGCCTTTCGGCATATGGGCAGAGCGTCACATATTTTTACAGACCATCAGCACTCTGTGGGTAATGTGGTCAGCATTACGCCGGCTGTCTTTACTTTCCCAGGACATCCCATCCTCGTACCCATTTTAGGCTGGGTCGGCCTGCGACGTCCCCATACCACGACAAAAATCCACGCAGCCTGCAGTGGGTTTCGATCGCGGTATGCTGGCTTACGAGTCAGACTCGCAACGCCTTAGCCACGGACGCCGCTTTACCTGATAAATACTCTCATGATTGCCTTCAGTATATAATACCCGTCTCACAATTTCCTTTACTGATCGGTTTGTTGATTGGGTACTTTAGACATCTCAGAGTATACCAATCACTCTTTTTTTTTTTTAAACAGTGTACATATTTGAAAATCTATGTAAATTATCATAATGGAAAACATTGCAGTGTATGACCAAAGTTTGTTTTTTTAAAATATAAATTTTAATATTTGCTCAATTATTTCATTGGGTACTTTTGATTCCAATCATTCTTTGCTTTAACATATCTGAAACTATACGTAAAATAACATAATATATACTATAGCAATGCAATATGCAGTTTATGTTTGGAGTTTATTTGTACACTGTTTGCAACTGATTTAGTTTATTTATCAGTTTGTGTGATGCAATCAACATTTCCTAAGTCATTCTGGTGTGTAAATAAAAATCGCAGTTAATTATTTTGAAGTGTTTGCCTCCCTTGAAAAATGATGCAGGAAGTTTTTACGTTAAAATGGCAGCTATGGTTGTGAAGCCTGTGTATATAAATCATTCCTTGATGTTAGATATGCCTGGTACCTCCGTGCATCTCAGATTATAGTCTGCAGGTTCCAAAGAATCTTAAAGATGCCTTTAAGGGGTTGTAATCGTCATCAAGTGCCTTGCTGATTTGCATGGGACAATCATGCTTCTCCACAACCTGCGGTTTTTAAAGGCATGTTATCATCATCATGAAGCAGGTCCTTTGCAGAACGTCGCTCTCATCACAGTCTGCCTGAAAGAAACTTGGTCTCTCAGGCTTCCATGAGTATCTTGGGATAGTAATGTGGTAGTTTTCCTTTGATTTCCACATCCACATGGCTGTAGACTATGTCCTCAGCCTTTATCAACCTAAAAGATTGCTAGAGTAAGTGAGTACCCTGCTCTGTGATGCTCCTGCTAACAGAGGTGTCCACTTATCCCGGCGGATACTCAGCCACCATAGCTCTGTTGGCCACACTGCATGTGTTTACTTACCGTCCTCTACCGTGTGAAGGTGCAGTTGGGGTTTTCCCTTCAATGAGTCTTGAGGAGAGAATGGCATTTCCCAAAACTCTCCAGTACTTTCAGAAGGTATGTAGTGTCAGTAATTGCCAGAGACTGTAGAATGGTAGAAAAGTAAATGAGGCAGTCTTTTCTAAGATAGATAAAAAGTAGAAAAATTACAAATTAGATTGTAGGGATGTGTCTGGAGAAGGAATGAATTCAAAAACTCGGTAACAGCTGGCGGAAAATGATGGATGAAGATTAGAGAAAGTTGATATGAGACGAATATCTGTG